TCAACATGCTGCAAATTTGCTGGAGTGCTTCAAGGCCGGCCTTGCTGGTGTTCACTGGAGAGTCTCCAGGGCACTTGTTCCTCGTACAAGACGAGCCCCATAGTCTGTGCAATCACAGGTCAGCCCAGGCTGATGAGGCAACTTTTCCTGCTCGCTTTTGTTGAGCTTTCAGGCACCACTTTCTGTCAGACTCCTTCTCCTGGCCGCTTCGCCCAGCCTGGAGGGAACTGAGGGCAGGGGAAACCCTCAGCATCCATCACCTGAGATGCTCCCAGAGACTATAACACTCCTGGGAGAAGGTAAGGTGTCAAGTAGACACTTCCAGAGGCTTCATTTTTCAGTGAGTGGTTGCTCAGTTCTCCCAAAAAATGTGGACACCATCAAAGGAGTCTCAGAGCTAGGCTCTGAAAAAGTACTAGTCCCACCAGCCTGTGTTACTCTACCCCTGAGGAAGCAGCTGGCATAGAAGGGACAAAGATTTTGCTTTATCTATGTGCAAATTTCAAGGAAGGAGGAGGGAAAAAGCTGATTTACCAAAGCTGATTTACAGGTTTCAGCAGGGGCACCTGCCGGTTCAGATCCCGGCTGCTCTGCCCTCAGCTCTGCTCGCTGCACTGGAGGAAGAGCAGGGTCTGAGCAGCTCAGCACGGCCCGGGGGAAGAACCGCACGCTACAACACGCCGCGCGTTGAGCTCACTGCTCCAGCGCCTGCAGGGCTGCGACTGCTCCCTTGCTCTTTGGAGACTGCTGTCCCAGAGCCACCAAGGATGCAGCAGATCGAGCAACAGGCTGAGTCGTCACCGTCCTGGGTTTCTACGCCAGTGCACTGGGTGCAGCAGAGAGCACAAGAAAGGAGCTATAAAGCAGCTGGCGAGGTCAGGATGTAGCACAGACAGGATGCTGTGCAGAGCATCTCCTGGGATAAGGAACACTGTAAACCAGATCTGACACATCCTACTCAAGCGTGGGGCATCCACCAGGAGAAACAAGTGGCTCCAGCAAGCGAGAGGCACATGGGAAGCAGCAGCTGGGCAAAAATGGCAAAACAGCAGTTTTAAAAGAGCAGAGACTGCATGAGAATTAAGCCAGCCCTTTTTGATGCCAAGGATGGCATGGGGCTTGCTAATAGAGCTGCAGGGCTCATTCCAATTGGGAAATCATGTTTTACCTCCATACGGTCTCCCCATGGTTTCAGCTGGAGACAGATTCTTTTTCTTTTCTCTCCTCCTGAACCAGGGAGGGGTGAACTCATCTTTCCTCTCCCTCAGAGGCTGCTCTGCATCACAGATGCCTAGAAGGATTCTTTGGCATTAGGACATCTGGAAGAGATAAGCCTTCTCCCTGCACCACTCCATCTGCTCGGGTGGCTGCTCCCCACCACCCAGCCCTTCTGGGGATCAGAGGCAATACTGAGGACTGGTCCACCTGGGGAATGCAGCTGGGATGGTGATTCTGCTGCAGTTGTGCCTGTCAGTGTCTCCACGCAGACAAGCCTTGAGAAACCAGACTACTGAAAAGGGAATGTTGTCTTGATTGGGCAAGCAAAGATATGACGATGCACATGGTATTTGCATCTCAGGGAGAATGGATGGATGAGAATGAGTGGAGCTTATGCCCAGTCCACACCTTATTCATGGTCCACAGCTTGTGGGTCAGGAGGATTTCTTTCTCTCAGGTCACAGTGTATTAGGGATACAGCCCATGGCAGGAGGGAACCTTCTCCTTGCTGAGCTGTCTCTCTTCAAATCCACTGGCAAAACCAACGTCCCTTCTAGCAACCAGAAAGTCTCTCACAGAAACATAGTAGGGGAGAAACTCTCACTGTGAAAGGAGGAGGGAAATGGCCCTCACAGAGACCCAGGAGTTAGCTTGATACAGGCTTCTGCAAGGGGTCAGGACCATTTGCATGTTCTTCAGATGCAGAGCATGCCAAGAGCAACAGGATCGCTTTGCTCCAGGAAGGCATCCGGAGGGGAGGCCCTGGGAAGCAGGAGCAGTGCACCCAGAGCCACCTTCACACCCCTCGTTATCTGCACAGATGAGATGTCACCTCACAAGAAATGTCAGCCCAGCGACTGTACCTCTACTCACACGTGTATTTCTCACCCTGTACCTACCCCTAATCTTCCATTTCTTGTCTTCTGCATTCCTGGTTCACTGCAGACATCAGAGCTATGTCAGTTTGGAGAGCAGCCGGACAGAGCAAAACTGCAGGTGTCTGTAGCTCCCAGGCTGTATCAGGAGAGCACAGACCACAAGGGAAGCCTTTGCCTGACCCCACATCTCAAGAGACCCATCACAACTTGTTGTCACTTCACACGCTATTGCTTTTGTGTGTAAGCAGTGCACACACAGCAAAAAGGTCATTTATGTTACCAAAGACAACAGACCTTGAAACTCCACAAGGAAGAACCAGAGGAGAGATCAAACCTAGGTCACATCAGTAACAGTAACAAAAGAGCAGTAACAAAAAATGTCATGTTCTGCAGCGGAATAGTTAAAAAATAAAAAAAAGAAAGGGAAAGGAGACAGAGCTAAATACACAATTAAATTTTCCAGCCTGGACAGTGAGATAGTGCAGCTTAGAAGCAGCTAAACTCCATGTACCTGCAGTCCTTCCAGCCCTGCCAAAGAACCAATAGGTCAACTATGTCTAATCCCTCTCCTGGTGTGCGCCTTCTTAATACCTTGCTGATGGGGTCATCACTGTACGACCCTCCTGGTACCTTCTGGTCCTCTGTGGCTAAAGCAGAGGTAAACCAGCCATGCATCGAAATACAGACCAACCTCCTTGCTGGCACCTCCAAGATTTGTAAGGTCCTCCCTGTCCCCAGGCCTCACCTACCTGTCTCTTGGTCGCAGAGCTGCTCGCAGGCATCCGTGGTCCTCTGTCCACAGAGGTCTCTCACCCAGGGGGAGGTGGCGTTGATCTGATAGTAAAGGGAAAGCTTGGCTGGATTTAACCAGTCGGAGATGTCCAAGTAGCTCCCCTCACTCACCACGAAGCTGCTGCCTGGAAGGCAGAAAGAAAAACGTGCGTTAGGTGAGTGTAAGAAGAGACCAAAGCTTTTTACAGGTAAGGGGTGCACGTCGTGAGGAGGAGAAACAGATTTCTTATGTGAGGCACTGAAGAATTCGCATACAACACAACAACTTCCAAATTAATGTCTCCTCATTTCTCACAACTGACGCTTTAATGCGATCCCTCAGTCCCCAGCTCTCCTCTCCCCTAACACGCAAAGTATCAGAGCAGAGACCATTCCTACAGAATGCTCTGAATTGGACAAGGAAAGCTCTGGACTTCCTACCCTCTCTCATGGATTATTAAGCCATTTTCAGCCCTTTTTTCTTGGTCTCTCTTTCAAGACTGTTGCTAAGAAAAAGCATCTGTCCCAGTATCAGAGTAGTTGTGTTCTTCAGGAGCTGGTGTGAGGCTGAGCTCAAGAAAATAATACTAAATTCACCAATGTTCAGTCCCACAGAACTTCAGTTCTCTGCACAGGCCCCTCCATGTGTCTGTGGCCCAACCAATGATCCATCAGTTGGAACACTGCTCTATCTGAGATACCCCCCATATTACCAAATATCCCAAGATACTAAATTTGATCCCTAGCTCTCTGCAGAAATGGGGACAACTGCTTTACCCCCTGAGACTGGAGCTTCACTTCTGCAGCTTGTGCGGGCAGTGTCCAGGAGACACCTGGGTTTGGGATTGGGGCACTCATGGGCAGCAGCCACATGTCCTATCCTCTCCTCACTTTTCTTGGCTCATGGTGAGTGAACTGGCCCAACACACTTTTCATATAAGAAGTCTCATCTCAAAGAACCTCCGTTGCTTTCTCCCTCCTGAGAGTCAGGAGTGGATTCCTGCCAAAAATCTTTTCTTACAAAATCTTATGTTTCTTTATTTTGCAAAATGTATTTTTCCCCACTGGCAACTGGGAATATGCATCATCTAATTAGCCAAATAGATTTTCAGTTCAGCCCAATCATTTCCTTATCTAACATCTGAGGCCCCGCATCGCTTGGGGGATTTAGCCGGCACAGAGGTCCTCATTAACTCTGATCTTCAATTACATTGATTATAAGACTGCCTCCATAATAGTGCTGCACAGATCAGAGGGGAGCCCCGAACCCTCTGCTCTTAAGTGGTGTTTTGCAGAAGTTACCAGGGCAAAAGCCTTTAAAAACAGGGGGAGAAAGAAACCTTCGAAGAAAAGGGGGCAAGGAGCAAGGTTGGGTAGACACGGAGCTAACGGGCACCCTGCCACCAAGCGCTAGGACCTTGGGCCACAGTTCGGAAGCAGGGTGAACTTGGCAACTAGCATCTGAAAACTCAAATCTTCCTTAATGGTTACCCAAGGACAGTAAGTCAACAGACCCAGGGCACATTTCCATGCAACTTGAGAGCTTATATCACTTGGTGAAGTACTCGCTTTTCTAAACACCACATCACTCTTTTAGCTCAACAAAAGCCAAGAAATCTAAAAACAAAGAACACACACAGCCATGACTACTTATGAACCTGCTTGAGTGCAAGCTACTGCTTTCCTTTTGAATGAGCACCATTGCTGCTTTGGAAGGAAGGGCCCTGCAAAACCTCATCCTGCACCGTGCTGGCCATGCAGAACATTAAAAAGTGGAGCCTGAAGTCCAGCGTTCAAGCGAGTGGCCTCGTTCTACCAAAGCTGAGATCTCATCGCCGTAAGAATCTGAGCCCTAATTTAAGCAGATGAGTTGGCATCTTCTGTACTCTTTATACAGCATAAGCACATGCACAAATGCCTCTGTTCACTCCCAGGCGATGGAAGTGGCCAAACTACCGACTGTAGAAGCAAATTAAAGCAGAGGTGCAAGATCTAGCTGCCTCTTGGGACACAGACACCAAGGCTGCCTGATACAGCTCAATCAGACACAACCTAACAGTAAATTACGGGGTAAGTCCCACACCACCAGTGGAATATATTGAAACACTGGGCACAAAACACTCTCTTAGAGCCAGGTAATTTTTCTCTTTTAATTCTCATTCTTTGCCATGAATATTTAAAGCTATCCTTAAGTACTAATGATAATTACTACTGATTTATTTTACCAAATGGAAATGTGTCATGCAGCCTTTAGGGCTGTTAATTATTTACATATATAAATCTATGTAATACCCTGTCAATCTGCATTTTGTATTTTTGAAATTACCAAATAATGAGCAAGGCTTGAGAAACATGTAAACACATTTTGAGGCATAGGGACAGACAACACCCTCTGCCCCCATGGGGTAAAAAGCAGCAACACCACTTCATGATTGAATTGCTCCTTAATGAACCCGACTTCTATTTAAAACACAGCCAGACTGAAATGAATTGAAGCAGATCAGTCAAATAGAGGCTTTTCCACTTTAATCTGAGAAAAAAAAATGCAAAAAATCAGATGCTATCGTTAATTGTAAACACTTTCCTTTCTTCCCAGGAGGGAGGGAGGCGAGGAGATTTTCCAGCAAGGAAATTTCTCACATCTTTGGAGCTGAGTGTGTCACAGCTCAGACAAGTAAGATTTTCAGATGTGTTCTTAGACACTCTCATCACTCTCCCCGCTTACTCAAGAAAAAAACAAACAAACAAACACACACCCCAACCTTGATCCTTTCCACAGCTTGCCTAAGAAAAAACAACAGGAAAAGGAGTTTTACAAATATTTTGAAAGCTAAAATTCTGAAGCTTTCAAAGCAAAGCCTCTTTACACAGTTTTCCCCTTTATTTTCAAAGAATAGATACATACAACACAACTTTCAAAAGTCGCTGGCGTGCAGTTATCAAAAATATCTTGAAAAGCTGAAAAGGAGCAGATTGAACATCAAACCCTTTCAGAAACTACCCAGAGCAGACGCGTTCCGCGGCAGAGCCGTTTCAAACGCCCGTG